TGTGTGTGTGTGTGTGTGTGTGTGTTCATGTACACAGGTGTGTCCTGTAGAATAAAGCCAATAAGTAATTGCATCAACATCATGAATAATCAAAATATTTAGCATAAAAGAAAAAAATAAAATATAGGCCAGGAGTGATGACTCACACCTGTACTCCTAGCACTCTGGGAGGCCAAGGTGGAAGGATTGCTTGAGTTCAGGAGTTCGAGACCAGCCTGAGCAAGAGCAAGACCCCGTCTCTACTAGAAATAGAAAAATTAGCGAGGTGGTGCGCACCTTTAGTCCCAGCTACTCAGGAGGCTGAGGCAGGAGGATCGCTTGAGCCCAGAAATTTGAGGTTGCAGTGAGCTATGATCTATGATGACACCACTGCACTCTAGCTGGGGCAACAGAGCAAGACTCTGTCCTCCCCCCAAAAAAAAATTAAATAAAAAAAATATATAGAACCAAAAATGTTGGGCAAAAACATTACAATCTGAACTTGAATTATGAATATAAAATAATGATTTATCCTCCTTTAAAAAAATATATTCTATCCACTGAAAAACCAAGAAGTGGTTGTAATTAGCACTCTTAGTAGCTAGACTGTGGTCTCTGAATATCATATCCTACTAAAAAGAAACTAGGGCTTCTTGGCTGATTCAGGTCTGGGACAAGAAATATATTAAGCCTGAGATGTCTGGTCATATCAGCAAGCAAAAAAGCGATCAAATACTATTTTAATAAGACACAAAAGCCACCTGAAGAAGAATGATTATGATGGATTGAAACATATCAAAAATGTTAAATTCCTGAGTTTATGATGACAGAAGAAAAGCCCACACCACCACCACCACACGCTGTCCAACTTTGGAAGCCGATTAGGCAACAACTCAACGGAGGTAGACCACTATGCTAAAAACTGGCAAAAACAAACAAGCATTTGTCTTGCCGTTACTACAGGAACTGTATTTTCTGATAACCGAATAGTTGATGAGGAAAAATTTTCTACAGAATTCTGGCTAATAAATTCAAAAGGATTGATAAAATTAGGAAACATACACTTTGCAACCCCTTATGAAGTAAAGGATCTAAACAACAATCATCACTCAAAGCTAAAAATGTTAGGTGGAAGTTTAATGAGGAATGCATTAACCTGGGAGACCTCATTAATCAATCTTAACATAACTAAAAATTGCCATAAATTAAGGATCTTAAGCGATACATGACCAAATGCAATATATGAATCTTGTGTGGATTCTGACTCAAACAAACTAACTATGGAAAGACATTTTTAAGACTGGTTGGAGAATAGATGATGTTAAAGAATTATTGTAATTTCACTAGCCATCATAATGAAATTATGACATTGTTTAAAAAGATCATATCATTAGTGATGCATACTGAAATATTTGCAGGTGACAGGATATTACATTTGGAACTGCTTTAAAATACTCTAGGAGGGAGAGAAAATGAGATGGAGATAAAGATGGAAGAAGTTTGGCAAAATATAGGTAATTGTTGAAATGAAGCTGGGTGGTGAACACAGAGTTCATCATACTCCTCTATTTATTTTGGTTTTGTTTGAAATTTCTATAATAAATAGTAAAGAACTAAAAAAATAAACTAGGCCAGGCACAGTGGCTCATACCTGTAATTCTAGCACTTTGGAGGCAGAGGTGGGAGGATCACTTGAGGCCAAGAGTTTGAGACCAGCCTGAGCAACCTAGTGAGATCCTGTCTCTACCAAAACAAAAAAGAAAATCTAGCCGGGCCCAGTGGCACACACCTGTAGTCCCAAGTACTTGGGAGGCTAAACCAGGAGGATAGCTTGAGCCCAGGAGTTTGAGGTTGCAGTGAGCTATGATGACGCCACTGCACTGCAGCCCAGCCAACAGAGTGAGACTCTGTCTCAGAAATAAATAAATGAATAAAAATTAAAAATAAACTATAATAAAAAGCCCTGCGAAGTAGGATTATTAATCCCATTTTACTGGGGGAGTTAAGACTCCCCTAGTAATGTTAACTTACACAACATCACAGTAAAATTAATAGAGCTAATGCTCAAACCTTAGTCTTTTTGAAACCAAGTTCAGACATGTTTCCCAAACATTACAGCTGACTTCCTTAGAGAGAAACAACAACAACAAAATGTTTAATATCTAGCAAGGACCTAAGCTGCTAAAAGACACAAAGAATTTTCATATTTGCCGGCATCACTTTGAAATAAGATAGCTTCTAGGGATACCACAAAATCCTGCGTTTATCCTTTAATCTTCAATGAAATTGACTGAGCATGCCAAGAATTTTCCATTTTATTATAAACCCTCCCAAACAGCAGCTATGGCTTTATTTGGCAGCAGCAACTCTGCAAGTCGGCTTTTGTAAAACGTGAGTGGGAGTCTGTGTCTTACTGGGTCCTCTGGGTCCTCTGAAGTCTCTTCCAGGATTAAGGTCTTGGCGCAAAACAACATTGAAATGCTCAAAGTAAAAGAAACACCCATACAGACAATACGCAACATGCTTGGAAGTCAGGGGAGGGTGGGCAGGCCAGGGTAGAGGTCAGCAAACCACAGCCTGGGAGTCCAGTCATGCTTTCTGCCTGTGTGTACAGCCCATGAGCTAAGAATGGTTCTTATATTTTTGAATAGTTAAAAAAAAAATTAAAAGAAGAATAACATTTCATGACACATGAAAGTTACATGAAGTTCAAATGTAGTGGCCCATAAATGAAGTTTCACTCTAACATAATCACGGCCATTCATTCACGTGGCGTCTACACTGCTTTGCCACTCCAACAGCAGAGTGGAGTGGATGTGACAGAGAAAGAATGTGGCAAGCAAAGCCTAAGATATTTACTATCTGGCCCTTTCCAGGAGAAGTTTGCTGATCCCTGATTTAGGGCATGGCAGGGAATGGGAGCAGGACCCGTGGGAAAACAGAGAGAAAGCAACCAATCTCGCCTGGGTTGGATTTTCTCCTCTAGTTCAATCCCTCTCGGTCTATAGTCTTTCTTGATTGATTTCCTTTCGTTTTTTCTTTTTAGTACGTTATGCATTGTGTGCATGAACAAATGGTAAGAGTCATTTAATCACAAGAATGAATCACTCTTTAGAATGCACCCCACTGCGTTCTCAAAAAGTCTTTCATGATTCGAATATCACATTGGTCTTCACGTTGTATGCCCTAAAATAGACTCTCATACGTGCCTTTTATTCTTAAAATCAAGGAATTCTGCTTCTTAATCACTGATATTTCTGAAAACATCCCACCTTTTCGACTCACTGGTTGGGCCATCTTAAACGAGTTACATAAAATCTCAGCCTCAACTTAGGTATCTGTAGAAGAGGAGCGATAACACGTAGAGATAGGAAAATGAGGTTTTTTTTAAATGCCTGGTTGCAGAAGGCCCTCCATGGACAGTCTCTGTCCACAGCGTTGCTCCTGTTAGTTTATATTATTAATAACCACAGAAGACAAGCAGACGATAACAGAGCAGGTTGTTCACATCTGTCTGGCTGCAAAGCTTTACATCCAACTGTATCCACATGAAATTAAATTCCAGTCCTCTCTTTAGTTCAGAAAACTTTCATGCCCACAGTCCTTGATTGGTATGAAGAAACCCAAGGGGAAAGAAAGTAAAGTCCAAATTGCCATATGGCATTGCCATCCTGAGGAAAATCCATGTTAGCATTTTATTTCAGCCAGAAGTAGATTAAGGCAGATAAAATTTTCAAAATAAAACACAATCAGTTAATTAAAGTAAGGAGAGACTTTGATTTGTTTTATGCTAGAATGGATTGAAGACAGCTTACAAGCGGCATTGTGCCAAGAGGAGTCATTTCCTAGATTAAGGCTTTTCAAACAGGGCTCCCAGGGAGGGGGCGAGGTGCCACACAGACAAAGCTCTATCACCTCAACTTCGACCAGAGCAGCTCTGCTTTGTTCTGTACACACACTGAATTTTTCCATGAGCCTTTCTGTGAAGAAAGAGGACTATACGGCTGAAAGGTTTAGAGGCAGACTGCCTGGTTTCATGGCCTCATTCTGCCACTCAGTAGCTGTGTGACCTTGGGCAAGTTCCTTAACCTCTCTGTGCCTCAGTTTTCTTA